TTCCGTCTCCTCCTTCCTCCCCTTTTCTCTGCTCCAAAATTTAAGCTTCCACCAACAATCAGCAATGGAGTTTTGGGGTAAGCTTTAAATTCCATTTATATGTATTTTTTTTTTGTTTCCTTTTGTCTCTGTTGGTAATTATTTGAAAAGAAAGCATGTTGCTCAATCTTATTGCCGTGTTTCTGGTAGGATGTCTTTTTTTTTTGTGTTGAGGTTGCATTAATCTTGTTGGGGTATGTCTAAAAGCTATAAACTTTACCAGGTTTTATTGCTATTATTGTTTTAAAGGTTTAATATTTGTGATGAAATTTATTACCCAAGTTATGACATAGACAAGAGAATTAAAACTGTAAGCTTTCCTCAAGGTTTTGAGAAAATTGAATGCCTGACTTTGAAATAATAATTCTATGACATCTCTTTTAGTTTTTGCAAACTATAGCCTGGTTACTTGCTAAAAAAGGAGTTTTCGAAATTTTGGTGTGAAATTGCTAAAACCAGTAGTAATTTTTTATTTGATTTGGAGTTAAAACCTTGAACCAAAACCAACCAAACCGACTTTCTTATCAAATATAGTATATTTGTCTTTTAGATATATTGAAAGTAACATGATAAAGGATGTAAACTATATACAATGTAAAGATTTTTACACCATCAGTGTTGTTTGACTCCACTGTAGTAGTTTAGTTACCGATATTATGAGGTAATCACATAATGCGTGTTATAGAGATTTACCCCTAATTACTTGTAGTTTAGTGCATAGAACTTAAACTCATACATAAATTGAAACTCAAACACCTGTGCTTATTTGTTCAAACTTGCACCTCAATTTCTTTGTTACTATTAACTGTTTCCGTGGTTGTAGAAGTTAGTTCTGACACCATGTGCCTTGGAACTTGTTAAAGTGATATCTCTTTTATATAAATTATGTGTAGGTGTTGAAGTGAAAGCAGGAGAATCTCTAAAGGTCAGGCCAGAGCTTTATAAGCTCATTCATATTTCCCAGGTTAGTGTTTTTTCTTTTGTCTTTGTATTTTCTCTCATACTAGCTTAATGTCTACAATTGCATATTCTTTCTCGGGCATTTTTGAATGCTGAAATCTTGGTTTTGCAGGCAGCTTTAGGTGAAGTGAAGGATGCCAAAGAAGCCAAAACTGTTCCACTACGCGTCACTGTCGGAGAAAATAACTATGTCATTGGAACTCTATCAGCTGAAGAAAGACCTCAATTGATGTTTGATTTGGTTTTTGAAAAGGAGTTTGAGCTTTCACATGGCTGGAAAAATGGGAGTGTCTACTTCATTGGATACACAGCTGATGACCCAACATATCCTTTGCTTAAAACTATTTGATTGTTTGTCAGCACTTTTTAATACTAAATATTACTCCACTGTTCAGTCAGTAACATAAAAGCTTATTAATGTTACCAAATGATAATAGGGATGCACGACTTATTCGTTTTCTTCTTCATATCATTTTCCTTGACTCCACCTGTTTGGTTGTTTCTTCTGTCTCCACTGATGAGATTGACTCTGGTGAGTTTTTGGACGTCAAGTTATGTTAGAGATACTTGTCTTTGTAACTTTAATCTAATGTGTTTTTTAAATCTCACCAGAAGATGAAGATTCTGAGGATGAAGAAAATGTTTTAGCTGCTCTAAATGGTTAGTTCCTCAAATCTCTTCTCATGTTGTCACTTTGTACTCTCTTTTCTCAAATTCTGCTCTCCTATTTCTTATTTCTTAATGTCTAATCAACTATCAAAATTCTTAGGAAATCTTGAGGAGAAAAAGGCCGATGTGAAGGATGTAAAGCCTGTGGCAAAAGAGGCTGCACCTACTAAGGCAAAAGCTGCAGTAGCTGAACCTAAGAAGGCGGAGTCTGATGATGATGACGACGACGATTCTGATGATGAAGATGATAGTGACGAGGCAGAAGATGGCATGGTATGATTCATAATGACTTTTATGATGCTTATTTTGCATATTTTATTTATTTACTATGAGGAAAAATGCATTACCTCATGATTACCAACTTGTTTTAACTTTAAGCTGCTTATTTGCAAACGTTTGTGTACTTTGTATTCTGTCTGTGTATTGAGCTTTTTTCTTCGCTTTGGTTTTTTTAGGATTCTGATGGTCCAGAAGGAATGGATTTTTCTGATGATTCTGAGGATGATGATGATTCGGAGGAAGATGAGTCAGAAGAAGAGACACCTAAAAAGGTACTATTACATTTAGCTTGTTTAATATTTGTGCTTTTTCTTGTTTTATACTTTTGAGTTGGAACCATTTGGCTTAACTTGCGTTGTGTTTTTGTCTAATTGAGTGTTTTATGATGAAGTCTGCGCAGAACAAGAGGCCTGCTCCACCTGCTAAAGCTGGTTCTGCCAAAAAAGTAAAACAAGCTACACCCGACAAGTCAGGTTTGATATATTTTTCATCCTTCAGTTCTATTGTCATTGAATTATGGAAGGCAACTTAATACTGAATGCTGATGTAGGAGCTCGGTTCCATTGACTAATATTGTCTTTTTGCAGGTGGCAAGAAAGGTCCAGCAACACCTGCCTTTGCTAAGCAAAATGGTAAACCTGCAGCAGCCAACGGTAACAAGGGAAAGGGTCAGAGTCCAAAATCCGGTGGCCAGTTCTCTGGCAAATCTCCCAACAACAGGTATGTACAAACTCATTCACAAAGCCCATTCCTGTTTCTTGCATCCTTCTCTGCATATAGCTAATTTTTATTGACAAAATTTGTGTTGCAGAAACTTCAGTGGCCAACAGAAAGGTTTCAAGGGTAAGCATGGGAAGAAGTAGGCTACTAATATATGAAGTCGTTTTGAAGAGGAAAAAGTAATTTATTTTTAATTTAAAGGGAAATTATCCGTGCTTTAAGCTATTTTCCCCTCATAGTTACAGTAGGTCAATTTTGGATGAGTGTTTTCCTTACCAGTAAGTTTTGTCGCTATATTCATTTGGTACAACACCTTTTGTGATACATTTTTGGGATCTTATATTATTCGCATTCTTTGTTAATTGGAATGTTGCAGCATAGCTCATTATAACTGTTGCTTGTACTCATTATCTTACTGTTACAGACTGCATATGCTACTATTTAAATTCTGTCATCGAAAATAATTGAATTTTGTTTCAAAATTTTAAAATTATGTGAAACCTTGATTAACTGTCATATGGAGACCCTTTGGAGTCTTGATTTGCTTCACAGAAAAAGAATTGTCATTGAATTAAGAACAAACAGGCTTCTCCTGACTAGTGTATTTTGAAAAGTCTCTTTAGAATTCTTGATTCTTTTGTTCATGAGAATATTCACGCGCTTCGGTCAAAATAGTGTAGACATTTGGTTGGTTTGATCAACTTTAACCTTGGTTTATGATTATTCATCTCTATTTTAATTTATATAAACAAATAGATGAGTGAAAAACTATAGGAGTAATAATTATGACTAGTTGGTACAAAGCATATAACTTCATATAGTATTTATTTATATCATAAATTGTCTTCTAGTACCATATTAGTCTCTCCCTATCAATTTATGTGAATCTATTTCTTTTTTAATTCGTGTAAAAAAGAATGATCTTTTTCACTATTTGGAAACAAACCTTTATGCAATAATTTATAGCCACACAAAATATATGCGGGTTCACATAAATTGAAACTGAAGGAGTATTAAATTCTCTTAAATCGACATGTACAGTTAACTTTTAGAAATAGCAAATTGACTTACTGAGCAAAGCCATATCAAGAAAAACCTTAAATCATCAAATTCAGCCAAGAGAGAAAGAGTAAAAGAGCCTTTCAATTGGCTACTGGAAGATGACGGAGACAAACATTTATACATTACACATACAGAGAGTTCCGACCGATATCTCTTAGTAGTTGTTGGAACTACCTCAGGATAAAACTAATTTGTGTTAAAAGTAATGCTTATTCTATTACACACGTTTAAGGAATTACTTAACGTCAATTATTTTTTTCCAAAAAACAAAAAATATTAGGAAGTGTTTTAACTTAAAATAGCAGATGACCAAATACTGATATGTCTCTTGGGGATGCGAATTATGTTCTTTGTTGTTTCTGCACCACAATTTTATCAAAAGCTGCCCACTATGTCGACTCCCTTGCAGGGCCGGATCCGGAGTGTTGGTTACTGGTTCAACTAAACCCAATAGCTTTTGTTCACATCCTATAGTAGTTTTAAGTCCGCTTTGCTCCCTTGAAATTTGAGACATCAGTATTTGGTCATCTGCTTCCTATTTAAACTTACCTCAAACATAATTCATGTAATGACAAGAAGCAAGGGGTACGCAAAAGAAGATATGTCCAATTAGCACTCAGAAAAGATCAAATGTTATCGCAATACAAGCTTGCCATTTAAGTTATCGCTCAGGAAACTTCAGATGACCACGCCACAAGAAAAAAAATTATTTAGAACAAATGGATAATTGTACTATTAAACGATTGCAAACATAAAGCCAACTGGCGAAATATCATAATTATTACTCCCTCCGTTTCAACTTAGATGAGGTAATTTAACTCAGGACGAAGTTTAAAAAGAAAGAGACTTTTGAAACCTGTGATCTTAAAAGGTTAAAGAGGTAAAAGCTTTGTGAGGCCATAACATTTGTGTGGTTATAAAAACTTTTCATTAAAGGTAAAATGAATATAACGACGAGTTTTAAGTTGAATTATTTTCAAATTTAAAAATGTATCATTTATTTTGAAATAAACTAAAAAGAAAAATACCTCATCTGAATTGGAACAGAGTGAATACTATCTTTTAAAAGCAAATTTTCCTTTCAACTTCTGCTACTACTCTTTCAGACGCCAATTAACACCCAATCAACCTAGTTCTGATATTCTCTATATATTCTGCTCCGACCTCCAAAGTGATTTAGCTTAGTTAAACTGAACACATCTTTCAATACTGATTCCTAAAAGCAATTAGAGCAGGAATCACCCAGGCACAGTGCCTGCTGCCAATCAAGATCAACAAGTAAACGGTGAAATGCCTAGATAACATCAAGATTCTCTTCCAGAAAAGTTACAAACTAGGCATCCGGAACCTAAAGTAGTCTCGTACAAATTGGTCACCATACATAATACTAGCAAACACAAGTCCAGAGAATGAAGAACCCGCAGTACCCTATTCCGAAACTGCATTACCCTAAAAAAAAAAAACAAGAATTTCAACATCACTGTTTCGAGCAGCAGACGAGGGCGCAGTCATCGTTCCCTGCAAATGCCTGTCAAACCGAAACTGCCGAGATAAATCCTCTGACTTGGCTCCAGCACCTGTACACATTTCATGGTAAGCTGTAATTAAAATCAAAGTCTTGGTCCTTACATGCAGGGAAACCTGGACCTGCAAAACTCAATAACTGTAAGACCAATATCAATTAATAAATTCAAAACCAAAGAACAGTTTGAAAACTACTAGCCTGGATGAGCTCTGGTCATATAAACCTGTCTGCACAAACAATCGAAATGCATTTCCAAAATATACAAGTATAAATGATGCATGTAGTCATCTGCAAGGCAATCTAAACCTAGGGGTGAGGGAAAAAAACATTTGAGCTGGACAACCTAGATAGACAAATCTATGGCCAAGAAATGGTATTAAACTGGAATGTTTGATAAAACAAAGAGAATTTCGTCATTTTCTTACATAATCTAATCCCACTTAACAATAAGGGACAATTTTATATGACGGACAACGATGTTATAAAAACATTAAAAGGAAAAAGTATTTTGGAAATTAATGAATGAGCATTCCTGTGATGATAGTTATCTGCTTCAAAAGATCAAATCAAGGTAGAAACGGCACAAGTAGAAGTGGTAGGAAATTCAGAAAATAGATTTTTCCACCAGTTTGACAAGTTTTTCAGACATTGTGCTCCGAAGTTCCAGTAAATCAGGACAAGAAAAAATATCGCAGCACCTTAGATTTCTGGCCCTCCATCACCTAATTTTAAAATTTAATTCCTACTTTGTCAGAGAGATATTACACAAATATGTTCTGAAATATGAACCAAGAAACAAAACAAAACTACATGCATCAGTATTATTTTCACTCAAACAATAAAACAATAGTTTGTGGAATTTGAACAAGCTATCATAGGGAAATGTTGAGGAATTTCGGTTCATAACAATAAAATGTCAAAGAGATGTGTTTACGCCCTATAATGTTAAAACCTTAGAAATATTTTTTTCTGTACTCAGACCAAAGTTCAAAATAAAAAAATAAAAAAATAAAAAAATGAGACAAGCATTTAGGGCCCATTTGGATTTTTGGTAGTTGAAGTTATGTTCCTGTTGTTGTTTTTTGGAAAAGAAGTTTGTGAAAGTTAAAGCCTGGGGATCGAAAGGAAGTCTGAAAATTTTCACTACAAAATATGTTCAAACTTCAAACCACTATTTCAATTTAAAAAAATTCCCTTGAAGTTCAAATAAACCTAAGACTTCACAAACAAACTTCTACGTACAAATAAAATAACTCAGGAAGCATAGTGTTGAGACAAACAATACTTGTTAAGTTAAAAAGCGGGGAAAATGATCTCAGAAGGCATACAAAGATGACAGTAGAGCATCACAGGACTAGAAATAAAAAGGGATTTCAGAAAGAAGTTCTGTCAACAGAAGAAAAAGTACGGCTAAGAAAGACAAGAGTCTGGAAACAGGAATTAGAAGGATGGTTTCAAGAGTTGATGCGATAGTAAACAATGAAATGCACAGAAAATGTGTGTCAATAGCCAAAACACCATAAAAAGGATTTAAAGAAATTCAAATTGGTTATCAAAGAATCGAAAACCTGCACCACCTGCAAGTGGAAAATGGGCAGTAAGCTATGGCAGGTGGCTTTTCTCAATAGAAAATATTTTAGGACAAATCAAAAGCATCAATCATAAGGGATAAGGACACAAACCACTGCACACTATTTTCATTAGTATCCATATGCACTTTGTAGTCATTGCTGATTGTAGTACTGATCTGGGTTTTGGACATATCCATTCTCGTTGTTTTCATTTTTGTTACTACTGTCTTCATTACCCCTGTTAGCCAGTTCTTTTTCCCGGTTCCACTGCTCTATTCGTGCACGCCTTTCTTCACTGCCATCCCTAATTGGACTTCTGTCTCTCCTGCCACCAGGACTCCTGCTCCTACCCCTCCTACGATCAGGGCTTGTACTTCTGTTCCTCCTGCTACGACTCTCATAATAATGGTCCTTATCATCATACTTTCTACTATGACTCCTGCGAGAGCGCTCATCATAGCTGCGATGCCTATAAGGACTTCGGCTTCTGCTACGGCTATGCCTTCTCCTATACCTTCCAAACAACTGTTGTCTCAATTCCCTAAATAGTCAGCATAAAAGACAGGTCAGCCACAACTAAATTTCTAGGACTACCGAGTTTAAAGTTAAAAGAGTTCTATTTTTCATTTTACATAAGTGGCAGTAACCTGCTGATCCTTTTGAGGTGCATAAAGTTGCAATATCCACCGCGGTTGCAAACATTTTCCTCGTACTGTCTACAGGTGGCTTCACGAAAATCAGTCACAGGAGAGAAATCAACAATGATGGGCCTTCCTGCAGAGTTTGTTACCAAAGGAAGCATAAGGAAATAATCATAATATGAACTACTGGTGACAAGCTGAAAACCTTGAGGTTGCTGATCCTTTTGAGGTGCATAAAGAGGCCAATGAAGCTAAATATTATGTTATAGTGTGCAAATTTGGAGCCAGCAACCTCAAGGTTGTCTTGAACACCCATTGCCGCAGTGCTAAAGGTCTTAAGTTGTGTCAAGGGTGCTCAACATTTAAGTGTATATTGATAATACAACAGAATTTGACCTATTACACAGTGTAGATTTCAAAAGAAGGGTGTTCAATACAGGTTGGTTGTAGCTTCACCGCGGGTCCTGATAACACTAATCCATACTTGACATGCCCTTTGGCCATTTTGAATTCTTTTCTCCTCTATTCAAAACTTTTTAACACTGAAATGGTGGTTAGTGAGGAGTAGAAAACTTACCAGCATAGAATCTTCCAGTAAGATTCTTCAGTGCATTTCCAGCCTGCTCTTCCTCTCTAAACTGAACATAAACATTACCAACCTGCACAGAAGACATCATGACATAATTATACAAATCACCAGCCCCGATCAATGGATAGATCCAGCAAATAACACAGAAATCTTACCATGTGATCAGCCAGATTGTCACAAACATTCAAGCTCTCAATCTCTCCATACTTGTTCAGTTCTTCAAACAAGTCTTCATAAAAATCCTGCAACAGTACCATCATAATATCATATTCCAAATTTTCGATTCGACACCTCTCGTCAAAATATTCTCCAAGAACATGAACCACAAAGCTATTTGCGAACTATGGATTAAAGTTACATAGTACATACACTGACAATATAAAGATTCTTTTACATTATGAGTGAATTTGTAATAAGAAGTTAGTACCATTTTTACCTAAATTTACCTAATAAATTAGATACAACTTTTACACCGTCAATGCATACCATCATAAATCTTATTCCAAATTACCAATTAGTCACCTCTCCCCAAAGTATTCTCCAAGAAAATAACATGGATTAAAGTTATATATACTAACAATGTAAAAAATCTTTTACACTATCAGCGAATTTTACCTGCTGTGATAGCAAATTAGTTACTCCACCAATTTTACCAGATTACCAACTAATGCTTATGAAGATATTTACCTGTAATTAACTAATAAATTAAATAATTTTTAAACTTAAACTCCTTAACTACTATGTTCACTAAAGGGCCACATAAAAGAAGCAATCATCCTATAACACATGTAGAATCACGATTATTTGATGTATACCTCAAAGTGTTGCTGGATTTTGTGAGGATCAATGGGATGGCCTTGAGGATCGACGCCAGGGGTAATACTGTCAGGTCTTTGGTACATGTTAGAGAGGAGAATGGTAGGGCTAATACTGGGTTTAGTGTGAAGCCTCGAACAGCGATCGCCATGTCTACAAGCTCCGATTTTGAAGTAGAATGGGCAATTCACTCTGTCTTTTTCAGTGCCGAAGATCGAAGCCAAGTGCTCTGCCATTGCGAATTTGCGATTATCGGAAATCCCTTTCTGATTGTAGAGGAAAATATGAATGAAGTGGAAGAAATTAAGAGTAATTATATGGAAGACTAAAGAGGCTTCTAGATAGTTCGAATATAACAATTTCTATTTATATTATTGGAATGTGCTTGGGAATACAAAGCGGTGGTTTGCCCGAGTGGTTAAGGGGGAAGACTTAAGATCTTCTGCACATAAGTGCGCGTGGGTTCGAACCCCACAGCCACCATTCTATTTTACAGTCTTTTTCTGTTCATTCTTCGGATTTTTAAAATTTCCTACTTTTATCTATTTTCCATATGTTTAAAAGACCTCAGGTTAAGAGGGGATTCAAATGGATGTTGAAAATTATATTGTTACGTTAGAGCTCTACCACAACTTCCAACTTAATCATTTTTATTCCCATGTTTTTAATAAATGCCCATTTATCGTTTATAAAAATATTTTTCTCTCTTTATTTATTTTTTTCTATTACACTAAGAGACCAGGTAAGGTGAAAAGGTAAAGGATGACACTGGGAATCATTTTCCGTTTTCAGATGTTTTCTTCTCACTTCTCCCCCTTTTTTAAAAGAAAAAAAAGATACAAAAACCTTTCCTAGTTTTTCACCTTTTCGTTCAAAACTCTTTTTCCTTAGTTTTGATTGTTCTCAGTTTCTATTCCCTTTATAGTCCCATTTGACCTTCAACACATCACCATTTCAGAAATAAAAATATTCAATTCCTGAAGAAACTACATTGGATGCGTCTGCCGGGAGTCGAACCCGGGTCTATTGCTTGGAAGGCAATTATCCTAACCGTTGGACTACAAACGCTACTGTTGACAGATAGAACAAGCAAAATATTCTACTCGGTGAACTTTTTGGGGCTTATTAAAATACAAATACAAACCCAGTCTGACTCAAAAGCAGTCAACTGATCTCAACCAAAAGACACCAAAACTCCAACTAACTAGAAAATATCCTAATATGCAGGTGTAAGATGTAGAAGCACAGTGTCAACGGATATTTTAAGACCGATTAAATCGACCGAATCGTACCGAATCGAATTTTGGGTTTTCTTTAATAAAATCGTAGATTTTTATGTAAATCTATAACCGTACCGATAATTAGGGTAGGTTTTTTATTTTATGAAAATAAACCGAAAAATATCGAACCGTACCGAATAAATTTACAATGCGAATAATATATTTATATATTAAGTTTAAAAATAATAAAGCATTGAATTTTTTCTTGGGCCTTGGAATTATGAAACAGTTACAAGCCAGCAAGTAATTAAACTCAAAATCCTAATTCCCAAACCTATTATGATACTCTTATTGAAACTAAATTATTTTCAGCATGTTCACTAGCAAGACACATGGTATTGTAGCGATTATGAATAGCAAAATATAATGTATTGAATATGTTTCTTTTCGTATGTTTTTTATTTATACTTTTGAATATTTAATCTTCTATAGACTTTATTCTTGAATCCCAACTTAGTTATTGTTGAGGTTTTGTTTTTAAGATGAAATAGTCTTAAAATGAGGGTGAATGGGAAATGTCTTAAAATGAGGGTGAATGGGAAATGGAGGAAAAATAAAATTTTGAGTAAAATTTTAAGTTTTCCCCTCTTGACAATGAGACATTGTCCCATATTGGAAGAGGAAGACATTTTTGGTGGGTATATATATAATTGCTCTTCTTGTAGCTCTTAAAGAGTTAAGAAGAAAGCAAGCCTCGCGCCGTCGTCGCTCGCTCGCTTACGGCTACGGCTACGGCTTCAACTTTGGCTTCGGCTTCGCCTTCGCATTCGTCGTCGTCGCTCGCTCGGCTCGGCTTCGGCTTCGGCTTCGGATTTGGATTTGGATTTGGATTTGG